TCCCTGTCTCTCTCACTCACTATCTCCCTCTCTCTTCCTCTCGCTCTTCTCAGTCACGCATATTAAGCAGCTGGGAAGCCGACAGTGCCTCCCCTGCTTTTGCTGCTCGCATGTCTCAAATGCACAGCTCTCAAATTCTCCCCTTAAAAAGACAGGAAATGACACAAAGAATATTCTTTTCTTATTCTCTTGAGAAAATTAAAATTAGACCAATAAAGGGGGAGGAGGTGGGGGGCTACCTTCTTTGGCATGCCATTGCTTTTAATTCCTGCCTGAAAAAAGAAAAAAAAAAAAACTCTTCAATGCCTAATAGCAGATTATTGGAGTACCTGTCTGTGGCTAGCTGACTTGCATCATTAGGACAGATTATGACAGTTTTGTCAGCAGAGGAAACTGGATGTGAGTATGCCAGGCACAGTCCCGGCATGCCATGCGCCGATGTCTGCCAGAGCCGTGCCAGTCAATAATACCGCTGCCTGCACAAAGCTATCAATTATTGTCGCAATTATTTGTCTAGTTGGATATTCAAAATGTCATGTGAAAAAGATGATTACACATTCCGCCGAGCCTTGCCATGTGTAATCAAATGAAGCAAGCCCTTGTTAAACATGGTGCTGCAGTAACCCGTCCTTCAGTTATGTCTCAGCCTGTGGCCAGAGAAGAGGCGGCTTCCATAGGCAACACACGTGCACTCATACACACAGATAAAATAAAGCCTTTCTTCCTTTCCACACTCCACTTCCACTGAATGTGTTCATTTTGTTACCACTGATATATATCAGAAATATTGCTTTGCTGAGATTAAAGATTTATGCATAACTAATATCAACAATGGTATAACAATATACATAAGTGAATGAGTGTATCAGAATTGTACCTGAATAAAGACAAACTGTCCCTTGACCTTTAACAAGAAACAGCCATTGTAATTCCAGCAATGCAAAATTGTGTAAAATAGCCTTTGCATGATAATAGAAAAATGTATACTAGGTTAAACCCTTGCAGGTGGCAACAATTAACTGTAATTTCTGCAGATTGTAATGATCCATAATTTACCGTCCGTAGTTGGCCTTCGCATCAACCCCCTGATATAAAGTTGTGTGCAGTCTTGATTTGGCGCTGAGCTTTCAGCTGTTGGTCTTTAGTTCGATTGTCAGGAGGCAGTCGTGGGTGGCAGAGACGTAGAGCTGCACTGTGCTGTTATTTCTCTCTGTTCAACACTACCTCTCTCTCTCTCTCTCTCTCTTTCTCTCTCTCTCTTTCTCCCTCTGTCTATCCAGTGGGTCGTTCTCTTTTAATTTTAGTGTTGAATAGTCATGATCACTTTCTCTGGGGACCCCATGTCTTTAAAAGAAATCTGTTAACATATGATGCTGGTTCAGCATAATTCCATTTGAATTACTTCATCTGAACCTTGAGTACTGTGTTTGGAAAATTTCTGTGAGTTTCAGAATATCTTGTGCTCAAATGATTTTCCTCAGTTTACCACGGTCATTTATTTTTGTCTTGAGTTTCTCAGCCCTGTCTGTAGTTTCGGAATGAGAGCGCTACGCCTATGCGTTCCTTCACAGAAAAGGGCCCGGACGCACACACACAAACCAATGACAGCACAAAAGGGTGCAGGAGTGTCTGGAGGAGGCTGTGTGTGCCACTGTGCCGAGCCTTCCAGAACCGCCCCTATTTGTGTGCATTAACAGGATTATCCCGCGAGCCCTCGGTGGCTCCGGCCTGCCTCCCTAACACACAGCAACACTGCCCGCTCGCCCTGTTACATGCTTTGCTGCCTATTGAAGACTTCAGAGAAACCCCCTCTGAGGAAAACAAACGAGGAGATGAAAGAGTGTGCACTGCCTGTTCGGGTCCGTTCTGCACCTCTCTCTCTCTCTCTCTCTCTCCGTCTCTATGTATCACCCCTCACATCCCTCCATCTACCATTCTCTCTCCCGTACACTCTCTCTGGCTCTCTCTCCTGGGATGGGCTAAAAAACAGCCTATGATAGCAGTTTAAAGAGCTCTGGTTTAGGAGGAGAGTTCAGTCCTTCTCCCATGTCCATTTTCCCTCTTTGTTGTTGGCCATGTGTTTATTTCTTTATGTGGACAACCTTTTTTCTGACCGCTCGACCCCCTGCTTTTGGGAGAAGAGCAGATAGCTGCGGAAGTGAAACATAAGGTGCACCTTTTAGTGGTGCTAATTTGCGCAGTTCAAACTGCCACTCATTACCCTTTGATAAATATCCAGTTGTCTGCTTTCTGCGAGTAAATAGAACAGGTCTTTTTTGTCTGCGGGCATGCAGAGTGACCTGACCTCTGCTTGTTTCCCTCTGAAGTTGTAAGTAGTATTTATCTTTCTTTTTTAAATTGTTTATTTATTCAGCTTAACTTTCAGAAATGATTTTGCAGCCTTTTTATAGCTCTCCATTTTGACTCTTGAGCATATGTATGATATATGAGCAAATCACATTTTAGGGTTCACTAGGGAATAAACTAAGGTGGCATGGCTATTTGGTGTAGTTAAAAAGGTTTGAGTCATGCTTTTAGTCATGTTCTTGTATTCTCGTAGCAGTATCACATGCTAATTTTGATAGCAATCGGAAAGATATCTCTCAAGATTCATTCTGAACCAAAAAAAGTAACTCTGAGCCATAAAAGTAACTTTTTTCATTGTAAGTGTTTTTTGATTACTGAGTTGTTTTTATAAATCATCCCTATATTGTATAAATTCTCTCCTATGTTATTTTAACTATCCTCTTTGTGGATGCAAGATTTTGAAGCGTATATATACCTCAATAATCAATATGTATTTTGATGCTGGTATTTTTATCTATTTACCTTGGAAAGCCTGTCTGATTCAAACAGCATAGGATTGTACTAAACTAATTGTGTTCACACTGATTTACCACATTTTTACTACATTTTCTCCATCAGTTACGTTTAACCTTATCTGTGGGGTAAGTTGTAATGCTTGCACTCATGCCACTTTTGGCTGAGTTGTTCATAAATATTAGGTGCTGGAATCAAAGTTTATGTTTTCATTCATAACAAAAATGTGTAAGTTGCTTGTATAAAAAAGTTATTAATTTTGCTCAAATACATCCAAAACACAAAATTGTTAAGTTGTGCCTCATTCTCCCTTACTTTGCAAAATGTTTTTATTGTTAAAAATATATTTAGTTTATTCAAATACTTTAGTTTGTTTTTATATATATTTAGTCAAAACATTTATGGAAAGAATAAGAAATGTTTTTGTAAGGAAAAGTACATCTTTGAAGACAGTATTTCCCAGTTATTGTTACTGTGTGTGAGATGTGGAAGAATTCATTTTCAGTCTAACCTGTGGAGAATCGAGATCGACTCTCGTGTATGAGCAAAAATAAAAAAAAGAAAAAAGAGAAAAAAAATCACACAAAGAGAAAAGAACACTTTCTTTTTCCTCACTGCATCATCCTCATCCTCTTACTTTTACAGCAGAAGAAGAGATCTGTGTGTAGGTGTTTGTGTGTGTGTGTGTGTGTGTGTGTATGTGTGTGAGAGAGAGAGAGAGAGAGAGAGATACAGAGAGTTAATATGAAATAAAGATATAGAAAAAGAAATGTGTTTTTAGGCAGCAAGAGATCTGTACATCATCAGTCTCTCTATTGAAAAATCACAGACAAAGAATCTTTCATTGGCGTGCAGTGTATGGCGCTTGGCTGGTGTGTGTTTAATGTTGAAACACTCCCATTCCCTGCCTGCTTTATTATCTAATCTTGTAAATGAGTTGGTGGAGGAGCTGAGTACATTTAATGAGATTACAAATGAATTGTGAAGCAAATCATAGGTCATTGCCGAAGTGCCATTGAAAGTCAATTATTGTTTTAAATGTTCCTTTACTGTCACAATTGTCTACATACTTCAATGTCCTGCTACTGAGAGAGGAGTTTTTTTTTTCTCCAGTCTCTGATGCTCATAGGTTTTTTGTCCCATAGTTTTACAGTTATTGCAAATATTTGGCTTATTTCAAATGGCTAATTTATATTAAACTGTGTACTCATTCTGTACAAGGAGAATATGAAAGTCGTAAGTGCAGTACCTCCCCAGGACTTGGACAGGCGCTTACATGGTTCCTCCTGGTTTCAGTGTGCTGAGATGTGACAGAGCCTCAGTTACAGTGCCGTTAACACGCTGTAATTCATGCTCTCTCCGCTCCCTCCCCAGCCCTCCACTGGCACTACTACTGTAGTGTTTTCATATTGTGTTTGTGCCTCACGCTCGCCTATTTCTGTACATGAATGAAAGACAGCTCTCAGCTGGGAAGGCGCTATTGTTTGCTTTTACAGCCTTGCTGCTGAGCAGCGCTGCGAGTGGAAATGCCTGCGCACAGAGCGGGCCCAAGCAAAGCGTGGGGAGGCTCGGATTCCCCACCGTGCTTCGAGACCGCGCTAACCCTTACCGGGGCGTCTTCAGCCGCGCTGCCCGCGCTTTGTTTGGGCCTTCTGAAAAGCCGAGCTCCGCCGGGCCTTGGCCTGTGGTGCCATTCGGGAGCATGTTTTTAATAAGAGCCGTGTTTACTGCCATGTGATACTTTCATTAGACGGCGGAGCGGCTGCTGTGGGGGGCGTTTGTGCAGGCGGCCGTGCCGGGCCCCAGGTCTTGGGCTGGAGAGGAGGGAGGGAGGCTTCATGAATGATTAAGCCCAAATCGGTAGTGCCTCTCTCTGGCCAGCGAGAGCCAGCGGGCTGATGAGGGAGGGAGTGGGAGCAGACATAAAGACAAGCTCCATGTGTGTTCAGCTTCTTAACCATTCTCTCTCTCTGCACTTTCTACAACCCGTGGTCCTCTAATCATTTTTTTAATGGACTGCAGAAAGATTTTGCCTTCTGGTCCAGTTGGCTTATTTATTTAATAGGTTTTTTTTTTCTTTCATTGTCCACAACGGGACATTTCACCAGATTTAGCAGTACTTATCATCTGCACTGCCTTACAGTTTGAACTAACTGAAATCTCTCTGTTGTTTTCCACAGGTAAAGATGAGCCCAGCAGCTACACCTGCACGACTTGCAAGCAGCCATTCAGCAGCGCCTGGTTTCTGCTGCAACACGCCCAGAACACTCACGGCTTCCGCATCTACCTGGAGAGTGAGCGCGGGAGCCCCCTCACACCTCGGGTGGGCGCCCCATCGGGGATGGGTGCCGAACACGCCTCCCAGCCGCCCTTACATGGCATCCACCTGCCTGAGGGCAGTCCTTTCAACTTGTTACGGATACCCAACTCTGCCCGTGATGGTCCCCCTCTCCGAGAGGGGCGGTTCCCACCGACTCCTCCGCTCTTTAGCCCCCCGCCCCGCCATCACCTGGACCCACACCGCATGGAACACTTGAGCCCGGAGGAGTTGGCCCTGGCCACCCACCACCCGAGTGCCTTTGACAGGGTGCTGCGCCTCAACCCCATGCCCCTGGACCCCCCAGCCATGGACTTCTCTCGCAGGTTGAGGGAGCTGGCCGGCAACACCTCAGGGTCAACTCCGCCCCTCTCGCCCAACCGACCCAGCCCTATGCAACGGCTGCTGCAACCATTCCAATCAGGAGCCAAGCCGCCCTTTATCTCCACCCCTCCCCTTCCCTCCATGCAGTCCCCATCCGGCTCCCAGTCCACTCCGACTCCACTGCTCCAGCAACCCAGCACCCCTATGAAGTCCAAGGCCTGCGAGTTCTGTGGTAAGACATTCAAGTTCCAGAGTAATCTGATTGTGCATCGGCGCAGCCACACAGGCGAGAAACCCTACAAGTGCCACCTGTGTGACCACGCCTGCACCCAGGCCAGCAAGCTGAAGCGCCACATGAAAACGCACATGCACAAATCCTCGCCCATGACAGTTAAGTCCGACGATGGTCTGTCCACAGCCAGCTCCCCGGAGCCAGGGACCAGCGAACTGGTGGGCAGTGCCAGCAATGCCCTTAAGTCTGTAGTGGCCAAGTTCAAAAGTGAGAACGACCGCCTGATTCCGGAGAATGGAGAGGAGGATGAGGAGGAGGAAGAAGAAGAGGAAGAGGAAGAGGAAGAAGAAGAGGAAGAGGAGGAAGGAGAAGAGGAGGAGGAGCTGGAACGGGAGGGCAGTCGCAACAACTTCCACTTTGGCCTGAACCTGGAGGCTGCGCGGCACCATGAGAACAGCGGGGGGCGGCTGGGTGTGAGCGAGGATGGCATCCCACGATCCCTGCCCGAGGTGATGCAGGGTATGGGACTGGCAGCCAGTATGCAGCACTACAGCGAGGCCTTCCACCAACACAAGCGAGGAGCTCTCAATTCGGACAGTGACGCACACAGGGACATATGTGACAAGGACTCTGTCCTGGAGTCGGACCGTGCACAGGAGGGCTGCGGCTCGGCCATCAACGGCCGAGGCTCGTCCCCCAGCGAATCGGCTTCTGTGGGTCTGTCCAAGAAGCTTTTGCTGGGCAGCCCCAGCTCCCTCAGCCCCCTTTCAAAACGCATCAAGATGGAGAAAGACTTTGATCTCCCTACGCCCACCATCCCCAACACCGAGAATGTGTACTCCCAGTGGCTGGCCGGCTATGCTGCCTCTCGCCAGCTCAAAGACCCCTTTCTGAATTTCGGGGATTCCAGACAATCGCCTTTCGCCTCGTCTTCAGAGCACTCCTCAGAGAACGGCAGCCTGCGTTTCTCGACGCCCCCAGGGGAGCTGGACGGTGGCGTCTCCGGCCGTAGCGGGACGGGCAGTGGGGGAAGCACGCCACACCTCGGGGGTCCCGGCCGGCCCAGCTCGAAAGACGGCCGGCGCAGTGACACCTGTGAGTTCTGTGGCAAAGTGTTCAAAAACTGCAGCAACCTGACGGTGCACCGGCGCAGCCACACAGGTGAGCGGCCCTACAAGTGCGAACTCTGCAACTATGCCTGCGCCCAAAGCAGCAAGCTCACGCGGCACATGAAAACGCACGGGCAGGTGGGCAAGGACGTTTACAAATGTGAAATTTGTCAGATGCCTTTTAGTGTGTATAGCACCCTGGAGAAACACATGAAAAAATGGCACAGTGATCGTGCCTTGAACAACGAAATTAAAACTGAGTAGTGATGGAGAATGGAGGCACACCTGCCAGTTAACAGCAACCCTCTCCCTAACCCCAACCTTGTAGATTTTCCCTGTTTGGCTAGTCCAGTGGAGGCTAAGACAACGTGCTTGGCACCACCAGCACACCCTTCTTCATTTACCGTTGAATGCATGTTCTGTATCGGGGCAATACTATTGCATTGACGCAAACTTCGAGCCTTTCTCTTGTGCAATAATTTACATGTTGTGTATTTTTTTTTTCCTTTTTTCTTTCCCTTTTTTGATAATTAGACAGCATGCATGGTATGTTTTGGCTATTTTTAAAAAAATTGTCCCTGGTTGGTTAGTTGTTGAGTAAATGTGTTGCTGTTTTCTTGTTCTGTTTTTTATTCAAAAAATGAGAAGAGAAAAGAAAAAAAAACAACCATGCTGCATACATTCTGTAATACATATCATGTACAGTTTTGTGTTGTAACATGGAGGACAACAGTCTATTGCTTAAACCCTCTTTGGAGGGGCTGGGAATCGCACTTAAACTAATCTTTCAAAAAGATGTTCTGTCCACATAGGGTTAAAAGTATGAATTGGCCCCTATTATGGAATATAAAGTATTGACAGCCTTTGAATTTCTTAAAAAAACAAAAGTGATCAAGATTAGAATTTGTACTATCATTTGGTAAAACAAACAAAAAAGAGTGCCTTGGATCTTGAAACTGCATTGGTTAATCTTCCTATCTGCTATAAGCTTGGAATCTCAGCCAGATACTGGAAATGGATTTATATGATTCACATAAGGTTCTTGCATCAAGTACCTGACTTTGCCGGTCTACAAGGAAATGAGGATAATCAAAAAGCTAAAAGCTAATTTGTAGTTAATCATCATTAGCTACCTTTGACACATGCATCCTTCAGTTGTGGTGTTTGTATTGTACACGGTACATCCAGTATTGTGTGGGATTCAACCATGTTTACTCTCCAGTTAAGGGTACTATACTCAGCGGTACAGGTTTTAATCCGCAGTCATAAGCTCTTACATAGTTTGTGAAGATTCTGTTCTCAGTAGCACAGCAGTTTTTGTTTTTGTTTTGTTTTTTTTAGGTGTGAGTGTGTGTGCGCATGCGTGTCTATCAGGTTATGTGAACGTCCACTGTATAGGTACTGCATTTGTGGGCCTATACAATGAAGAAATGTAGTGTTTTTGGACATTTCTCTTTGAAGAATGCATTTGAATATGTACACTTCTCAGTGATGATTAACTATGAATTGCTTACAGGTTTGAATCAAAATCCTCAAAAGAATATCTCTATCAATGACTGCAGTACTTAATACCTGTGTTCCCTAAATGGTTCAGTTATCCTGGGAAAGAGAGGGCAGAGGGAAAGAGGGAATGAACAGTACAGATGACTTGTTTGTAATATGTGTTTGGGGAGATTTTTCTTTTCTCTGGTGAGTTTAACATCCAGCCATTTTTTGACAACCATGTTTTCAGTGTTTAGATAGCACTTGTCACTCGGCCCCTTCAGTCTGTGTCTGACGCTTTGATTGGTGGGATAGTGGTTGAGTATAAATTAAGACTGCTTGCTTATACAAAAAAATGCACTGTTAAAGTTTCCCAGTTTACAGGTATTCACATGAGGGAAAACTTCCTATAATGCTAAAAAAAAAATAATAATAATAAAAAAATACAGTGTCATTGTTTAACATAACAAAGCCAACTACTCTTTACCCCCACCCCCTCACCCCCCCTTACAGAAAGCCGTTCTCCAATGTGATGTTCAAGCGTCGGGGCATAGACCTCCAGTCAAACAATGGACAATTGAAACTTGCTGCTTTCACTGCAAGAACATTTTTTTGTACAAAAACGTTTTTAAGTATGAATATAAAACAACATTTTTTAAAAAAAAATAGCAATTCATTATCTTAGGGGAAACTGTATTTAAGTTTGTTGATGTTTCTCTTTCCTCTTTGTCTTGGTGGTGTTCAAGACTTGATCACGATATATATAGAATGGGAAAAAAAATCTGTGATTTTTTTTTTCTTTTGTTTTCTTTTCCTTTCTTTCTTTTTTTTTCCACCGTGGCTCTTCACAGCTCTTCAGGTCAAACGTAACTTGCATTGGGGAAAGGTTTAAGATTATATATAAATATATAATAGAGAACTTAAATATAGGAAAATGCACACTCATGTTCAATTCCTATGCTAAAACACATTTATGATCTACTTTTTTTTCTGTATTTCTAGAATGGTATTTGAATTAAATGTTCACCTAGTGTAGGCACTATAGTATTTATATTGAGGCTTGTATTTTTAACTGTTGCTTGTTCTCTCGAAAGGTATTATTGTACCTTTTTTGGTAGTGGAAAAAAACAACAAGCTGCCACGGTATATTTTTTTAATTTGGCAGGATAATATAGTACGAATTATTTGTATGTTTAAAAAAAATGAAATGAAAAAAAATTCAATAAAAAAAACTAAAGTATGTGGCATTGTACAAAGGAGGCCATCTAATGGTTTCCCTGAGGAGTCTTTTGCGAATGTCCACACTAGCTAAAACAGGTGGTCGTACATATCTTTTTTTCTGTTCTTTTTTTAGACTCTCCTCTTCTGCTGCCATTCTGTATGCAGTAATGCAAGCTGATGTTGGGTTCTTCTGTAATGTGCTTCTCTGTCTTCTCACCTATCTCACCTGACTACATTCCAGCATCTTAAAGAGAACAAACTTCATATGCAGTAAATACCAGTACAGAAATGAAAATCGTACAAATAAACGAATTAAAAATAATCAATGTTTTGCAGGTTTTTTTTTTTCATTGCCAAATACTAAATGGTGCTTTATATTTAGATTGGGATGACTTTCATATGCAAAGCATATTTAAAAATGAAATGGAAATAATGGAAAAGCCCGCTTGAGTTCATACTTTTTTGTAAATGGCAATGCGGAATATTTTGTTATCAGCCTTTTCTATTCCTGTTCTGAAAGCTGTTTGTTGTAACTTGAACTTGAACTTTATCTTTTACAATGGGAGTCACTATTTATTATTACTTAAATGCTCTGTTCAGAACGGAGACATGGAATGGATCTTTTTTGGTTTTCTTTTTGGTTATTTTTTTATTTTGTTATTGTTGTTTTCTTTGAAAAATGACCAAAGGTCATTGACAACTTTTGCTTTTTTTGTCGTATTTGTTTCTGGTCTATGTTGAGTTTTATTGGAGAAACCACTGTCTGTGTTTTCTGGCAGTTGTCTGCATTATCCTGTTCACACACCCATTTTGTCCCTTTATTGAAAACAATTAATAAAAAAAATTAAAGTA